GAGAGAGAGAGAGAGAGAGAGAGAGAGACATGGATTGGTTGCCTCCACGCGTGCCCTTTGCTTAGCTAATCCTTCCCAGCCTGGTGAATTCTGCAGGCTCCTTCGCATCAGACGCCAAAAAGGCAGGCGCCCAGGCCCCGAGCTAAGAACAAAGAGGCCCCCTAGAACTTGGATGGCATGCTTCAGGGTGTGGAACGAGGAAGGCTGGACCTTTTCAAAGCCTCGATTTTCCCTTCTGTGAAGTGAGGGAAATTCTACCCAACTACTTCCTAATTTGTTAAAAATTATTTGCACCACATCTAAAATAATCAGCTCCATTATACACCCTGTACAAGGACAATATTCTTTGCTGTTTTTGTAGAGGGACCAGTAAGGTGAGGAGGGTAGGATGGGAGGGCTCCAAGGAGAGAGAAGTCACAGCACTGAGAGGTACAGTCAGAAAACATCTGCAGATAGAAAAATGTTTGTTACAGAGCAGGCTTCCCACAGGCCTTCTGGCTGGCCCTCTAGCCCAGAGGCTAGAACTGTTTCCACAGGAGTTCTATTTAGGCTTTTGAAAGAAAACAGCCTGGGTTCTCTGCTGGCAGCTGTTTAGGCTACTGGTATCTTGGAAGTACATTTTTTTCTCTTTCTCTTTAACAAAAGACACATTCCTGGGTCCCCAGACACTAGGAGAAAAAAGTTTCTCTTGGAGGGGGGATGGGCACTAGGTAAAAAGTATCCCGATTCACACTATCATTTATAACTTTCAGGTCTATTTCATTGTGGTGTCAGGTAATAGAAAGGTTAAACCATGATCCTCTACATAAATCTCTTCCCACGTGTTTATTTGTAATAATAAAAATAAAAATGGAAACCCAAATCAAATGACAAGACTTGCTCACCAAAGCACAGTAAAGCATTACAGAGTAAAAAGAAAGGACACCCACTTCCTCGATCCATTTCAGCAAGTGGCTCAGTTTCAGAGTAATTCAGTCGTACTAGCAACAATAGCTGTTTTCATCTTAAACAGCTATTATTGATGTGCTACACCTGGCACTTCCATTCACTCATGAGTATTATAATCTCACTAAAAATTTCTCATCTGAGATAAAAGTTGGTGAAATGATTCTTAACTCAGAAACCATCAAAATAGCCACTGAGATGTGAATAGGCTGGAAATAAGAAGGCAGTCATAAAGAGAAAGTCAAAGACTCCAGAATGTTTCCCTGAAACGGAAAATTACGCCACTGAGCCAGGACTCCTCATTTCTCAGAATCCTCACTGTGAGGTGATAGGCAGAACACAGAGGACTTTTAGGGCAGTGAAAGTACTCTGTATGATGCTATAATGATGAATATATGTCATTATACATTTGTCCAAACCCACAGAACGTGCAACATCAACAGTGAACCCCAAGATAAACTACGGGCTTTGGATAATCATGATATGTCAATATAGGTTCATCCTTCATAAAAAAAGATAAATAAAAATAGTACCATTATGATGATGGAGGAGGCTATGCATGTGTTGGGGGCAGGGAATTATCTGTACCTTCCTGTTAATCTTGTTCTGAGCCTAAAATTGCTCTACAAAAATAAAATATTTTTTTTAAAAAAGAGAGCTATTCATGCTCACCCTCATTCATAGGAAATGGGAGAATACAGATTCTGAAGAAAGGGGGTCCTAGACTGGGTGGAACCCCCAAGGCAGCTGAATTGCATAGAGCAGGCTTTTCCCTCTCTACTGTACTCAGCTCCTATTCCTTGATATTCCTAAGTAACAGGGCATTTTCTTTCTTTCTTTCTTTTTTAAAATTTTTTATCTTTAGACCCATGATCACACACAGATACTTTATTAGTTTCCTCTATAAGAGCTAGTAACACCAATCATTTAAACAGAAACCTCAGGTCACTTGAGAGGCCAAACAGATCCAAGGAAATAAGATGAAAATTAAATACTAAAATTAATCAAAAGGCACTACACCACCACCTAGAAACTTCTACCACAGTGGTAACTGGCTAAGGAAGATTAAGCTACAGCAAAATAATCTCATGTAAATGTTAAAGATCATACAACAAAAAGTGAGGTTTGCTTTCCAGAAGACTATGGTACAATGATCATTTGGGTCCAAGAAGGTATTTGGCCAGGAAAAGGTCAAGATGATTAAAGGTCAAACCAAATGGAAAAGGAACAGATACAAAAGAGACTAAGCAACAGTTTCCCAGCAGAGGGTGAGGGATCAGGCTCTTTTCCTCTCAGAAGCATCCACTGCACTGTGCGCTGCCTCCCCTCAGGCCCCCACCTGAGCTGCCTGCCTTGCAGGGAGTGAGCAACCAGAGCTGGATTCTGGGCTGCCTAGGGCTCCTGCTGTCATTTAGTATAGACCTTAGAGAACTTGTTACATGTTAGGGTGGGGGCAGAATTGAGTTGGCTTTGTTCTTTTTATTTACTTTTTAATTTATTTTTAATTTGGGGGTTGGCTTTGTTGCTAGTAGTTCTGAACCTAGGAATCCCAGAAGCATTCACATGAAAAGTAGTCTGAGCTTCCCCAATCACATTCAAACGCCCCCACACAACACCCTTCAAAATCTGAACTCTTCCAGAAGCTGAGCTATATAGTTCAAGTTGCAAGGCCCACACAATCAAAGCAGCCAGAATGAGAAAAGGCAGGTAGGAAATCCGAGCAGCTAGTCTCAATCTGTCTTTCCCTAATTTTGGAGAAACGTTAATATACCTGGCATGGGATGTAGAAAGCTACTGGAGCAAGCTGAGGCTTCTGCTGAATTTTTCATCGAACACAAAGGGAAAACAAGGGAAGGGGTTCCGTTTATTTTTTTTAAAAGCCTCAGAAGTTATTTTATTATAAAGGGACATGGCTGAACAGGTAGGAAACAGATTCTCCATTGTGAGTTCTCCTGATGGCTTCTGCAAGGATCATGGAGATGTCGATCACCTGTATTTTGGAGCAATGCTTCATCTTATCTTCCTGAGGTATGGTATTGGTGACCACTACTGCTTCAAAGCATGCGTTGTTAATGCAAGAAATGGCCGGGCCAGAAAAGATTCCATGAGTCAAGATAGCATAAACTCTGGTGGCTCCAGCTGAGAGAAGTTTGTCAGCTGCATGGCAGATTGTGCCACAAGTGTCAGCCATGTCATCCACTAGGATGGCCACTCGATCCTTCACGTCTCCTACCAGCACCATGCGGTCCACTTCGTTGGCCTTCTTGCGTTCTTTGTGAATCAAGGCAAAGTCAACATTCAAGCGGTCTGCAATGGAGGTCACCCTCTTAGCTCCCCCAGCATCGGGTGAGACTATGGTGCAGTTCCTCCATTCCGAAATATTCTCCCTTATCCACCTCAGGACAGCTGGCTCTGCGTACAAGTTGTCCACAGGGATATCAAAAAAGCCCTGAATCTGAGAAGCGTGAAGGTCCATGGTGATGATATGATCTGCACCTGCTACGGAGAGCATATTTGCAACCAGCTTGGCTGAGATCGGAGCCCGGCTCTTGTCCTTCTTGTCCTGCCGGGCGTAAGGGAAGCAGGGGATGACAGCAGTGACGCGGCTGGCAGAAGCGATCTTACAGGCGTTGATCATGATCAGAAGCTCCATCAGGCTGTCGTTAATTTCGCCACAGCCACTCTGAACGATGTAGACTTCCTCTCCACGGACACTTTCGCCAATTTCAACACAGGTCTCCTGGTTGCTGAATTTCTTAGTCACCACCTTGCCTAGCTCCAGGCCCAGGCGGTCAGCAATTTTCTGGGACAAGTCCTGGTGGGAGCTGCCGCTGAAAATTTTGATATTCGGCATCTTGGCCAACTACCCTAGGCTCTCTTTGCTCAGCGACGGCTGCTGCGGCCAAACGGGAACCGAAGTCAGCCCGGAGACTCAGCACTGAAAGCTGCGCGTTGCGTCGCTGCTCCGCCGTCTAACGTTCCGCGGGGCGCGCGGCTCTCCGCAGGGGGCGCGCGGCTCTCCGCAGGGGGCGCGCGGCTCTCCGCAGGGGGGCGCGTGGCTCCCAGCAAGGGGCACGCGGCTCCACCCAGGGGGTGCGGGCTCTCTGCAGGGGGCGCGCAGGGCTCCCAGCAGGGGGCGCGTTTTCCAATCCGCATCTTGGATGTACCCAACTGAAGGGAAAGTGAACGTAACATTTGTGGAGCACCTTCCACAGGCATTTCTTTTACAGCAGGGCGTTTTCATGATCAAATTTTGAATTAACCATCCAACCAATTAGAAAATAGGGTTTGCTCTGCTACTGCTTTAACGTATCCCCATCTGGAACTTGGAGAAAGGGAAGCATTTCGAGCCAACGCGGCAGCTTCGTTTGAACGGCGTTGGCGCTTTATTTATCACAACAGCGGATGCTGGGGGAGTAAAGGTAATGAGTACGAAGTACCGAAAATAGTGTCTATAGCACTATGAAAAGAAAGCGCTTTATTCTTGCTCAAACCCGAAGTAATCAAAGCTGGATTTGCTAAGTATGTTTACAGCAATATTTAAAATGTCCTTTCCATTAGTGAAATTTCTGCAGGAAAAATAGCTTTGAGATGGACTATCTGAAATTCATGAACTCTTAGCCCCCTTTCTTCCATTCTGTTTCTGTTTTTATAATGTGCTTTCTTAAAATAACACTGATCCCGCCAGCACACCCACCATCACACACCAAACTGGGCTCAGCAGCAGGTGCTTATTAAGTAAGTCTGCTCGGTCAACACAGGTCATGAAGAAGGAACAGCAAGACTTCTATAAACCAAATTACTTTGTTTCTCTATGGAATAGCAAACAGACCTGAAATTCTTTTCAGAAACACCAGTGAACCTGAGTAAATCAGAACTGAGCCGATCTATTTTCTGAAACGATGATGTCCTTTGACCAGAACCTGAACCAAGGGGGTTGTTTCACTCGGGGCAGGCTGCCTCCTCCTCTGAACCCCATACTCCCGTCTGGGCCACGAACTAAGCTCCCTACAGCAAACACCGGGAAAGAAGACCGTGATCTTTCCCGGGAAGAGTTAAACGGGTCTTAGCTCAACTCCAACCCTTCTCACTCCAGAAAACAGCACTGGGAGCCCCAGGGGGGTTGGGGCTTTGCTGCTCTGACTTCTCACACTCTTCTTCCAAATGAATTTAAATCTTTTCTTGTCCAAATCCCTACAGAAGAAAAAAAAAAAAAAAGTAACCACTCTGTAGTTTTTCTACTATTATGCAAATAGATTAATCAGGCAATGCTCCTGTGAGAATTAATTTATATTGAATCCAATGAGGCCTGGATGCTTGTGGACTGAACCCCTAGGCCAAAGCCTCAGCTAGGTAGCACCTCATATTATTCCTTTGACGAAATGTGAACTGACATAAATACTATGGCTCCCTTTCAATCCGATTACCCCGTTACCTCACATCAATGCTACCCCAGCCATCAGATTCTGGCGTCTTTCCTTTCACGGGCTCCAGGAACAACAGACAACTCCTCCTTGATAAACAAGCACCCACGCTGCCACCTCGTACCCCACTCTTAACCCATCATCCTCCCTCAATGGGCTCTATTCGACAAGGTATTTTATTTTGTTTGTAGGAATCAAGGACCGAAACACAGTTCAAAATCAGGCCTGGCTGGGGCTGTTCATTCAAAGCTGCCCTTTCACACAATCGGTCACTAAGAGCCCCTGGAAATAACACCCCTGAAGTATCTACCCTTTAATAGACGCCGTCCCCTTGGGACGCTCCCCCATCCCCTTCGCTGGGCTCCCTCCCTTACATCTCATGAGTTCTTTTTAAAACACACAAAAAACAAATAGCACAGGTTTCCTGGGCTTGCGTGACCTGGGGCTCAGTCTAAATGAACCTACACTTTAAACCATACCTTTGTACTAAACTCATGTTGACAACCACTAAATTCTTTCCATTGCTCTGCATAGAAACTTTAAAAAAGGAGTTCATTTCTCCCCTGTCCCCTCCCACCCCCAAACTCTGCCATTTATAAAGCCTGGCTAAACAATCCACCAGGTGGGGGGAAGGCTTTTCTATGTGGGCAGCTCCATTTCTGGAGCCCCTACCTTGGTAATTAGATTAAGAGGCAATATGTGAATAGCAGGAACCACAACAGACCCCACTCCCTTCATGCTTTATGCCATTTACTGCACATAATCGATAGCAAAATATCTTGAATGGTGGCAGAAATAAATGTGATTTGTGAACAACCCGCTGTTGAAAATGGAAATGAGGGAGGAAGAAAACAAAGCAGGCTTTATTTGTCCAAAGCAACCTCGAGTCATCCTAGCGCTTGGTTTTTTGAGAAAGGGGCAGAAGTTACACGTGATCATACACTGGGGCTGCTGGTATGTCTGTTAGCCTTGCAGTTAATTAGTTTACACAGTCCTGTGCCTCCTTTTAGCCCCCGGGAAAACAGAGGACAGTGACCTTACAGGCAATGCTGTCTTTCTGAATCGAGGAAGACAGAAATCCCTTCAGTAACCACGGTCCCTCTGAATGTGAGAAATCCTATGAAACATATTCTAACTGTGTATATTAAGAAGCTCTTAACTCCTGAGAAATAAGAGAAAGCAAAATAAGTAGTAAGAATGGAAACACACGAACACTCAGCTACCTATGAGGAATGTTATGGTTTTGCCAAACACCATTCACATGTTTTTGAAGCAGTTTGCTTTCTGTCATGCCAGAGGAGGACATCTCTGTTTTCATATAAAGTGAGCTTCCATTTAAAAGCCAGAAGAGGCATTGAGCGAACATGTTAGATTTTGGTAATTACTTTTCACTAAAAGTGACACTCTTTTCCTTTCACCCTAACTTTGGTGCCTTTCCCCAAATGTCTAAAATTTGCTGCCAAGGGCAGGTTTAGTGGTTATCCAGGAATATATTTTTTAAACTTTTATTTATTGATTTTTAGAGAGAGAGAGAGAAACACTGATTTGTTGATCCACTTATTTATGCATTCATTGGTTGATTCTTGTACGTGTCCTGACTAGGGATCGAACCCGCAACCTTGTCGTATTGGGACAATGTTCTAGCCAACTGAGCTACCTGGCCAGGGCTTCAGGAATGTTTTTACACCATATTTTTACTCAAAGTAAGTACCTCTGCTTTATTCCTTTCCCTTGGCCTGGTTAGTTATGCACCATTCATTCAACAAACATTCATTCACTATCCACTGATGACTAGGTGTCTGCAGGGGCAGGCTCTCAGCGGCATTCAGGATGACCACTGTCCACAGCCTCCCTTTACCTACAGGAATCTTTCCCTGCAAGCTCAGCTCTACTCAGTCCTACTCCTTCACAGGAAACATCTAGGAAACTAAATTCATGAGCCTAGGGGATACAGCCTCTAGTCACTCTCATTGTTGCTGCCATTTTCCGGGTGACAAAGGCTCCCAGGCTACCCTGATTGCCCCCTTGCCCCCTAAGTTCCTGTATCGACCCTTTGTCTCCTTGCTCTTTAGTCCCTTCGCAGATCACCTGCCTGCCCAGAACCAGAATTACTCCAAACGTTGGCCTTCTTTACTCTAACCCAGTGATTCTCAACATTTTTCATCTCACGGCACATACAAACTAATCACTAAAATTCTGCGGCACACCAAAAAATGCATTTTTGGCCAATTAGACAAAGGATTCTGAGACCAACTTTGGATGGTGTGGGAAAAATGTGTGCTCTTAATCAATAATGTCTTCCAGGGCTCTGGAGGCAGGAGAAGTAGACCCATGCTCCATATAGCACCAGTGGTTTGAGAACTATGAGCAATGGAAAGAAAGCTCATAGGAAGGAGCTTTGCCATTAAGCTATAATATTCGGGATTGGATCTTGGTGTACTTTTCCTTTTTTTTTGTTTTTTTTGTTAATCTTCACCTGAGTATATTTCTTCCATTGATTTTTGTTTTTAGAGAGAGCAGAAGGGAAGGAGAGAGAGCGAAACATCGATTTCAGAGAGACACATCAATTGGCGGCTTCCCCCAAGTGCCCCAACCAGGGCTGGGGAACAAACCTGCAACCCAGGTACATGCCCTTGACCGGCAATCCAATCCGTGACCCTTTGGTCCAAGGGCTGATGTTCTACCACTGAACCACACTTGCCAAGGCTTGGGATATTTTTCATAAGGATCATAATACAGTGGCAACAATAATGATGGCTTCCTTTTAGTGAGTACTGTGCTAGTGCCCTCTGGGTGTCAGTTTGGTTTTTGAGTATAATGATCTCTTGATCCCTGCAGTGCTTCAAGGCAGAAGAGGGCTCCAGACCTGAAATTTAAAACACAGACTAGTCTTGTCAACCTTTGAAATCTCAAGACTTTCTTCAGAGGATGGTTCTGAGTCAGTACAGAATAGTGGTTGTGACCATAGGGTCTAGAGTCAGACTGAGTTCCAAGCCTCTGGCATTTATGAACTGTGTTTCAGGATTCAAGCAGAGAAGTAGGACCAATAGGTGGTATTATTTACAGGGTGGGGCAGAAGTAGGTTTACAGTTATTCATATGGAAAATAATACAATAATTAATAAATAATAATACAAGAATAAACTATCTTTCACACAGCTGTAAACCGACTTTTGCCCCACCCTGTGTGTGTATATATATATCATATGTATACATTACATATCTATCCTATGCAGCAAGTCCTCACTTAACATCATCCATAAGTTCTGTGACTTTCAGCGAAATGACATATAATGAAACTATTTAACTATAGGCCAACTTATATAAGCAAGAGTTCAATTCCTAGGGCATCTCATCAATGTTATAATGAAACGTCGTTTCTCGATAACCTGCTATATGTATCAAGAGCAGGCTGGGACCCACAATCACAG